ACAATAAGAGTGATGCCCCTTGGTAGAATCAGCTATTTCTTGGAGAAAAAAAAAAATGAGGGGATTTTAGGATAGATTGTCAATCTTGGCGGCACCTCTGGAGCTTACAAATTTTTTTTGTTTTGTTTTGTTTTGGAAGCAGACATTTCTAATGAGAAGTGGGATGGATTAGGAATTGAGATGTGGCAGTTTAGATAACTGAATGTCTACCAGCTTGATTCTGTTAAAATGTGGCATTGAGGCCAGGTGCCTATAATCCCCACATCCTGGGAGGCTGAGGCAGGAGAATTGTAATTTCAAGCTAGGTCTGGACAACTTAGTGACTTAGTGTTAAAAAAATGTTGGGAATGTAGTTCAATGCACACTCCAGATCAAACCCTAAAACTACACTCGAGCGCACACTCAGACACACACACACACACATACACACAGAGTGGGGTTGAAAATATATACTGCGGTTTGAAAATACATGGACGAAAAGCATAGATTTATTGCCAGTTTCCAATGAGAAAATGCCATTCATTTATTCATTTAACGTGTTCATTAAATACCTACTCCAGGCCGAACACTATTCTAGGTGTTGGGGAACTCAGCAGTTCATAGAGCAGATTCAACTCCCTGACCTCAGAGAGCTGACAGTCTAATGGCAGAGATAAGCGTCTGAAGAGGTTGTAGTGATAAGCAGGGTAGGGTTTGTGATAGCAAAACTGGGATGTGTCAGGGAGTGAGCATATATCAGGTGAGTGATCGTTATCGTAAAGTCAGGAGTGACCTCTTTGAGAAAGCGATGTTTAAACTGACATCTGAAGGCCAGCCCTCCAGGCACAGGGGTGATATATTCAAAAGCCTAGTGATTAAAAAGCACAGTGATTGCAGCTTAAATGCGGCTGAACTTGGAGAGTGAGGGGAGCTCAGCTCCTTGTGAGTCTGGAAAGGAACCATACCCAACAGGACACATTGGATCATAGCAGGCAGAAGCCAATCCACAGGAATGTAAAGCCACAGCTGGCTGCCTGAACTGGGACGTCTGTGGGTGGCGCTGGCCTTAGACATAGTGAAATGAAATAATCATGTCTGTCACTTTGCTCTCTTCCTCTCCTCTCCTTCTCTCTGTGTGCCAGTCCTCCCATCTCAGGAGTGCTTCCTCCATACGGTTGGTAAATGAAAGCTTATGATTACAGATAGCTCAAGGTTTATAGCATCCCGGTTTCACTGTTGCAAAGAAAAGGGAGGGCTCCTTTCTTCCAGATGCACATAAAATCCCAAGTAAGAATTCAGACTGGACTGTGGATGAACACTGTGTGTAACTATAGAGAAACGATTGTAGCTGAGAGATGGAAGGTCAAGTAGGATTGGCGGTCCCACTAGTAGGGCAAAGGGACACTACATTAGTGAAAAAAGAGTCACAGTTGCCAGGAAAAGCAGGGCAAAGTGATGGTGGGCAGACAGACGAAAAAAATTTGAAGTGAGAATCCAGAGGGAGTGTTCATGCCATAGGAAGACCTTGGACTTTTCCTAATTGTGTCTGAGATAATAAATTCAGCATGAGAACCTTGGTGAGGTGCTTATGGACTACATGGTTGAGTTGACAGATATTTGGAACTTGTCTAAGGAAAATGAGAAGAGAAATGAAGCAAAAAGCTTTTATAAATGGAAAACATCATTACGGTGCACATGTAAGGAGAGAGAATAAAAGTAAAATTTATGTTCAATGTTACTATTGTCAGTGTGATTGTCGTTGAAATGCTTGATAAGTACATGAGGTGTGATGACAACTCAGTTCTTAGGCCAGGAGACAGATTTATTGCCAGTTTGTTTAGGGCATAGCATTTGTCTGAGTTCTTTTGAAATTTATCATTTCTTCTATAAGCATTATGGTCAAATAACATGATAAATGGTTACCACAGCAACTGATTTTCCATAAATTAGGTAAAGGAACAGTATGCCAACTTAAAACGTGCAAGGCTATAACTTAGGTAATGTTTACAGTTGGTTGCAGTAGGTTATAATATTAGGATAAATGGAAGTGGGAAGACTCTTGATCGTTTTATTCCCTGAACTTTAGCCAATTAATATAAAGTAGTAGAGCAATTAAGATTAGAAAAGATCATAAAAGTATATGTGGGAAGCAAGCTGCATGTTCTATAAATTGTTGAGCTTGTATATTGAAAGGAGTAATAGGGAGACATCTAGGCTGTATATTACATAGACCTGCACTATTCAATATGATAGCCATTAACAAAAATGAAATAAAATAAAAATCCAGTTCCTTAGTCATACCAGAAATACTTCCGGTGATTAGTAAGCATACGTAACTAGTGCCTTCTTTATCAAACAGTGCCTATATTGAACATTTCCATTGTCACAGGAACTTCTGGCTGACAGTGCTCATACAGACAGCATCAGTGGATGTTTTGCTTTGAATGAAGAATGTCCCCTAAAACCCTCGTGTGTTCATAGATGGGACCTTTGGAAGGTGACTGAATCGTGGGACACCGACTGACTTACTGTAGGGAGGTGGAGTCTGCTCAGAAGAGGTTGCTGGGGGCATAACCTGCAGGGGTCCATCTCCCTCCCAGCTCCTCTCTTCTGGCTCTGCCTCCTGGCTGCCCTAATGTGAGCAGCTTTTCCTCTGCTATAACCTCCCCCTGCAATTCACTGCTCATTTCTGAGCCTGAGCCCTTTATTTCCCTGCTATGGTTTGGATGTGACTTACGTGCACATCCCAAAATTCTAGCGCAGTGATGTTGGGAGGTAGCAGGGCATTTAAGAGGTGGAACTAGTGGACCATGCTTAGGCCACTGCGGGGGTCCCCTGCAGAGGTGATTAATGTTATTGCTGTGGGACCCAGTCAGTTTCTGCAGGGGAGAACTGTTATTAAAAGAGTGATCCAGGGCCAGGGATTTAGCTCAGTGGTTCTGCCACCTGCCTGGGAAGTGCAAGGTCCCAATTTCGATCCCTGGTACCTGAAAAACAAACAAACAAACAAACAAACAAAACAAAATAAAAGAGTGGAGTCTGGCTCTGGAGTCTCATAAAGCACCCGGAATGATATTTTAAAAATATATTGGGTTTAAATTTCCTGAGGAGGGGGACAAAGAAGAAAACGGAATATTTATTGAGTTTACACTATTTGCACCACATTGCGCTATTTTTTTTTTTTTTTTGTACCAGGGATCGAACTCAGGCCCCCATTGAGCTTGCAAGGCAGGTGGCAAAACCACTGAGCTAAATCCCCCGCCCAACATTGTGCTATCCTTGCACATGAGAGATTTTCTTAAATCTAAAGCAGAAATTAGGGCCGGGATTTAGCTGAGTGGTTCTGCTGCCTTGCCAACTATAAGGTCCTGAGTTTGACCCCCGGTACAAAAAAAAAAAGCAGAAATTAGATCCTAGAGGAGGCAAATAATTTGTCTATGTTCACCTACCTAGTAAGTGGCAGAACTGTTACAGAAATTAATGGGTGATAAGACAGCCAACTCCTCCTACTGTTACCAGGCTGCTTTGCCAAACATCATTAAATCTTAGGGCATCTGTCATTAGGCTTCTTTTATTTTTGAGGAAGACAAGACTCCCTGTATCTTTATTCACCTTGCCTATTCATTCATGTGGGAATACACCTACTGTTACAAGAATAGCATTCTCCTTTTAATTTAATTTTTTGTTTGTCATTTGGGACAGGGCCTTACTGTGTAGTTCAGGCTGGCCTTGAACTCACTATGTAGCGCAGACTGGCCCTGAACTCATGGTGATCCTCCTGCCTCAACCTCCCCAGTACTGGGATTACAGGCAGGTGCCACCACACCCAGCTAGTGTTTTCCTTTTTGGATTAGAGTTGAAGCTGCTGTTCCTTTAACTTCCCAACCTCCCAAAGCGGCAGATAGAGTTTTGACATAGCATTTATGGGAAAGGTTCATTCTCCCTCCCTATGTTGGACCTTTTGCCCCAAGGTTTTGGCCAAAAGTTCTCTCTTTTTTGAGACTCAGGTGTAGCTTAGAGTACTAAAGTTTTGGAAGGTATGGTTCAAGGGGTTCAAAGATTCAAAATAGCTCACACACAGTGATAACGAAAACCAAATCTAATAAAGTCCAGTAAAATCTCAGAGTATGTAAATACAGCCAGGAGGACTGTACTCTTGACCGTGGGGTCCTTCTTGGACACTACACGACCCCCATCCCTGCTGTTCCCCGTGTTCCCACCGACAGGCAGCCTCCTCGTGCTGAGTACGGAGACCGAGTTGCAGAGTTTCATTACTCTGACTGCATGAGTCACTTCTGGGCTGATCTCTGGGAAGATAGTACCACACAGCAGATGGTCAGAGTGGATGAAGCCTCTTCCTCCTTTCTTCTTAAGAAACAGATCTCCCCTAACTCTCCTGTGACGGGCAGCACTGGCACATACAGGACACAGTTGGCATAAGCAGCACAGACAGTGGAAACCTGAAGACTTTGGGCGTTTGGACTCAGCTTCATTTCTTCAGCTAAATGAAGTGAACTTTAAATCCTTGTCCCTTTCCTCCACCATCCTGTAGTATCAAATTGTTTAAATGAAAACTAACCATGAAGGGGTCATTAGGCAGTTGGGGGATAAACTATTCTGGGTGGGAAAAAGTGTGGACTTTGGAGCCCAACTGGAGTTAAAATTTTATTTTATTTTTAATTGAGTTTATTGGTACATTTTAGGTATACAGTACAGTTACATTCATTATTGGGATCTTGTACCTTTATATGACAGGTCTTGGTTCTTGTTTTTTCAGAGTTATAATTTTAAATGCATCATTTACTATCTGTTTTGAAGTTGGGAAAGTCATTTAAATACCTGCTCTGTTTCCACATCTGTCAAATGCAGATGATAATAGGGAGGCAACGGGACAGGTACTTGTCACAAATTTAGAGATATTTATTACACATGTGCTATGAGCATGTCTTAGTTATCTTTCATTGCATTCCAGGAGACCTCCAAACTTAGCAGCTTAAAAACAGCAGTTTTTTATCTCACAGTGTCTCCGTGTCAAGAATCTGCACGCACTTTAGCTGAAGACCCCTGGCTCTGGCTCAACTGCAAAGCTGCGTGCTATGTCATGGAAAGTGTCATGGAGATGGGTAGGAAAAGGGGAAGGTATGGTTTCCGGGGCCATCTTCTGGGACGCCTAGCCCTGAGTATCTGTTACTTCTGGGTCATTTGGACTCAGATCATTCGATCAGTGTTCACCTGAAGGCTTTATTCTCAGCCTGGTCTCATTTACATTTTCATCAGCAACTTAGGTCATGGTATAAAACAATAATCTTTATTTATTCTTGATGATGGATGCATCTTGAAAAACCTTTAAGCACTCAGTGTATGTTTGTGTACTACCAGTGTTTGTACACTGTCAGTTATCAGTGCTACTCTGTTCACTAATCAGGCTTGATTCTTTTGCTTGCTTTAGGCAAAAATTACAGATGGAAGTTCCATTACTTGTTGCTTGATCCTCAAAGGACTGTCTTTTTTTGTTGTTATTGTAGAGGGGATCAAACTCGGGACCTTGCTCTTGCAAGGAAGGCAGCAAAACCACTGAGCTAAATCCCCAGACCAGGACTGTCTTATATACTCTCTCAGTGTGTGCATCCTATTGGCAGAGACAGTGACTTGGAGATGGAGATTGTGGTTTGGGTCAGAGTCAGGATTCAAACAATATACCAAATATCGGAGGTCAATCATGTTCCCCTGCTCATTTGTGTCTCTTGTGCAGTGCACAAACTAGACAAGCATGCATGACAGATATATGGCTTCCCGGGAGCACAAAGGCTCTTAGAAGTTCCAAGAAAATTCATTTAACTCAGCCTAAGGAATGGGGAAGTTAAGTAGATAGTGGTAACAAGCCTCAGAAATGAGACTAAATTAAGAGTTTTTAGAAATGAATCACAAGCTGGGCATGGTGGTGCAACACCTGTAATCCTAGCACTAGGGAAGCTGAGGCAGGAGGATCATTATGAGCCTGAGGCCAACCTGGGCTCCATAGTGAGTTCAAGGCCAGCTTGGACTACATAGCAAGACCCTGTTCTAAAACAAAACAAAACAAAACACAGAAACATACACTTGGGCAAGACATTGAAATTGCCTTGATGCCATCAGTCTGTTAATTTCCATTTTTCTCCCTCTGCCAAAGGGGAGACTAATTCCTCCCCTCCTAAGTGTGATCTGGAATAAGGACACAATTCTAAGAAATAGGGTATGGCAGGAGGTGTATGACCAGATCATGAAATACACTTCTAACATGGCTTCTTCCTTACTCTCTTTCTAGGAGTGCACTTTCTGGAGGAAGCCACTTGCCACCCTGAGGTGACACATGGAGAGGTCCTCGTAGCACAGAAGAAACCCCTAGGTGGCTGCCGCATGAATGAGTTACCTTGGCAGCAGATCCTTCAGCCTCCTCCAAACCTTCAGATGACCCCAGCCTCATGAGGGACTCAGAGCCAGGCAACCTACTACATGAGCTGCACCTGGGCCCTTGACCTACAGAAACTGTGGAAGGCAACAGATGCCTGTTGTTTTAAGCAGGCTTTGGCAAAGAACGGCTCTAAAGCTGTATCCAATCTAATGTCTGTTTTTGTAAATAAAATTTTATTGAAACACAACCATGTCTCTTGATTTACATATTGTGTCTAGCTGCTTTTCCACTACAACAGCACAGATGAGTAGACACCATGTGACCCACAAAGCTGGAGATGTTTATTATTTGGCCATGTCTTGAGAAGAGAAAGTGTGCCAATTCTTATTGGTGTAAGTGGCTAAATTTAGAGCTCTGTGTGTGTGTGTGTGTGTGTGTGTGTGTGTGTGTGCGTGTGTGTGTCTCACAGCAATAGATACATGATACAGAGGAACCTGGCAAATGTTCCTAAGAGAGACATACAAGAACAGACAATTGTTTCTGTTGAATTTTGTCATACCTGGCCATGACCTCTGGAGCCATTGTTGTGTCTTGTGACCATGACAGGAATTAGTGCAAGGGTAAAGGTAACACAAAAATGATAACAGAGTTTAAAGAATCAAAAGCTTAGATCTATGATGAAGTCATTAAGTCATTTACTCAGTCCATCTCTCAGTCCACTCTGCTTCAGCTCCCTTCCCTAATACCCAAGATACTAAACTTCCTCATTGTCTTAGCTCTTTAAACTGGGGTTTTAGTGAATTGCAGCTAACATTGTGTTAATTGTACAAGTTTCTACTTGAAGAAAGTAGTCCTGCCTTGAAAAGAAGCCAGACTTTCTAAAAACAAACAGCAATTTGTCAAGTCAATTGCGGAAAGGATTAGTGGAGCCTGGTACTTGGCAGGTTTTTTGTAGCAAAACTTCAAAATGTCTCTACCTCGCGCCACTCCCTACTCACTACAGTTACCTCCTCCCCTCCATATATACCCCAGTCTTCCTAAGAAAAGCCCAAAGCATGTGGATTGGTGTGCACCGGACTTCTAGTGCCTCTGAGACTACTCATAATACATTGGAAACTTTGGAGGAGAAGGAGTCCAAAGATCACTGCTGCTTGCTTGTATCTCTGGTGCTTTTGTGATGACCTTGAAATCTTCCCAACTTTGACTGATAAGTCATCTAAAGAGTAGGGGACAGACTTGACCTGGTTACTTGGCCCACTCCTACTGGTAGCCTGGCGTTGGCTAGGTGGGGCTTTGCAATTTTTTGCATACTCTCTCTTTATTCGTTTGGGTTGGACATTCTTTCTCTTGCAAAGGGCATCTCCTGATTCCTTTTTTGGTAACTGACGCTGAGATCCAGGGGCCATAGATAGATTTAAAAAAAAAATCAAAGTAAAGATATTTCTACATATCTCTCTTAGAAATCTTTGCCAGATATTTCTATATTAGGTATCTTTTGCCATATAACAAAAGGGACTTCTTCTTTTTTCCTCCTTTGTAGCTTTCTAACCCACCCAACGGTTTTAATTCATGTTGAGAATTCTCATCATCACAAACTCTTGCCACAATATTGCTTACTTTTTCTTTCTCCTGCTTGACACACATTTTCCTACAATACAGTCTCAGGTCTGTGTACTCAAAGGCCCTGCTACTCAAAGGGTAGTCTCTGGGCCAACAGCATAAGCATTACCCCAGACAATCCTTTAGAAATTAGTCTCCCCCTCCCCTGGAGTTTCTTTCTCTTTTTTCAGAATTATTTCCCATTTCTCCTCTTGGCAAGAACAGTGGTTTAAATAAATCATTGCTTTCCCAGTAGAAAAAAAACCCACTCCCTAATTGTAAGTGCACTTAGGCTTAGAATGACTTCTTTGCTCTCCACAGTATGTCACTTTTTTTGGTGACAGGCATAGTACTCATTTCATTTCTGATTTCACAGTGGACAGAACAATAAGGAAACCCTCCATGTAGGGGCAAGCTTTGCTGTTTTCAGCTCTGTCCCGACCACACTTACTTGCTGATGTAGATTTAAGTACCTCCTTTGCTGAATCAGGGAAAGCTTATCTGGATCAGAAAAGTCCTGTGTAGAAAGAAACTTGACACTGTCCCGAACTGGGAGTATTTGTAATCGCACACAGGAAAGGCTGGTGTCTGTGGACCTGCGGAAGGGTGGAATGTGTGTGCGCCATCTCTAATTACAGCACTCCAGGAAGCCTCACCCTGAAGGTACGACTGCTATGAACCCAGCATGTCCTCCAGTTAATCCTCACTAACCGAGTGGACATATTCTTTCTTCATATACCATCTTCTCTACCTGGCCTCCTTCCTACATCCTTTTCATGTCTTGGCAACTCACTGGTCCAATAGTTTGGGGGCACAGGGGTTTTAGGTTCCCCTCTCACTCTACTCCTTCCCAGATATATTTAATAGTTCCATGTGAATAACCCGTTCTTGGTGAAACTCTGGGTCCCCTGAATGGACACCCACAAGAGAGCTGGTGTTTTCTAAGGAAAAGGAAACAGGTTTCCATTCTACCAGGACCCTTGATTTCTACCCACCTATCCAGCTCCAGTGGGATCCAGTGGCTGATTAGACTCTGGGTCAATCCTGACCTTTGTATTCCGAAGCTCCAACATTGGAATGGACTTTCCCCTATTTATGTTGAAGGAAGATCTTTCCCTCTGAGTTTTCCCCTAGATGCGTTCACCTTTCCCTTCCTTACCTCCTGTCCCCATGCCATGCATGTTAACCCTCCACAGATCAGATGCTGCACCTCACTCCTGAGGTCACTCCACTGAACTTCCTCAAGCTCTGAGCTGACACCGAAAAGACAAGGATAAGGCCTTTGGTTCTAAGGAGGGAGGAGGAGTTTCCTGCTTAGTTACTGAGTCATCCTTGTAACTCAATAATCCCGGTAATGTAAGACTAATGATCTGAAGGACATTTGAGTGCTGTGTCACCTTGCAGAGGAGCATTAATTATTTCCTCTGTGGAAAAGTGAGGTGGGAGCAGGAGATTCCAGATAATATATTACACATAGAGGCATAGGGCCATGAAGCCACACAGGAAGGCCTGTGAGAAGTTCACTTAAAGGGAAAGAATTTTCATGACTCTTATCCTAAAAGGTCAATGTGGAAGGGCCAGTGGGCAGGGAGGACAGTGATTTCCAAGAGTACTTTAGATCACCTTCTCACACTGTACAGAATGGAAGGTAGTTACTGTCCAGAGTTACTCCTTGGCTACCAGTAATGCATACAGCCCTGGCTATAAAACTGTGTGAAACTATGTTCGTGCAAGACAGAAAAGAAAATTCTCCTCCCTGTGGATTCCTTTCCCTAAAATATTGCTAAAGCAGCTCTACAAAGACATGGTCTAGGCAGACCTTGCCGGGTTCCCAAACTTTTCTTGTCTCAGTTGTGATCCATAAACCTTCCAATCTTCTTATCCCCACCTCTAGGATGAAGCCAGATAAGGAGTCTCCATGAAAATCAGGGAAAGATACCTTCCTCTGGGCAGTCGAAGGCTTGGTAACTCTCAGGATTTTTTTTTTTTTTTTTTAGCTCAGGATGTTTTAGGAATACCAAGAGGGTGGTGTCTGTCATTGAAAAGGGGCCCTCTTTGGCAGGCAGACGGAGGCCAATAAGGGAACCAGAGCTCAGAGGACATTGCAGAGCTGGTCTCACCTATTCACACAAACGCTGGGCAGAGAGTTTTAAAGATCAGGCATGAAAAGAAAAAAGGCAGTGTTGTAAGGTTTATGAAGGGTGATTGACAAATACATTGATATTTTAATTTAAAAATTAATTGAAAGAAAAAGATGTTGCCATTAATCTCGATCAAAATGCCCCCCCTTCAAATGTACTTGTCCCATTTTTCTTGCCACTTCCTGCAGCAGTTCTGGAAGTGTTCTTTCGTGAGTGTCTCTAGTTGTGCTGTTGCAGCTGTGTCAATGTCCTGAATTGATTCAAAATATTTACCCTTCATGGTCATTTTGGGGAGTAGTACTGCACTAGATCGGGTGAGTAAAGTGAATGAAGACATAGTGTAATGTTTTTACTTGCCTCTCTTTCCATTGGATGGTACTTGGCAACGGCATTTACTTTATTTTTTATATTTTATTTTTATTTTTTTGGCACAAGGGATCAAACTTGGGACCTTGCACTTGTGAGGCAGGCAGCAGAACTACTGAGGTAAATCTCCAGCCCTCACTTTACTTTTTATCATACCTTGTAAAGACATGAAGAAAAACTTCCAGAATATCTTTAGAAAGTGGCAAAAACAATGGGATAAATGTGTTCAAAGTGAGAGGAAGTATTTTGAGAGAGATTAATAGCAAGGTATCTTTTACTGTGATAAAAATTTAAAATTTAAGCTTTCTCCATATATTTTAATCATGCTTTACAGAACTGGATCACTACGATGGCTGCTTTCCTCTGGCCAGATGTCCCAGCCCTGGTCAGTTGGCTTTGGTTCTCTGTCCTAGACCAGTTCCTGTATCACACTGGTCCTGACCACAGACTTGATGGTCACCAGCCCCTGTGATGTGGCCAATGAGTGACTGGAGTAACCCTCTGCCTTGCTCTTGTCCCTGAGCTCTATTCTGAGTGTACAGTGACTCTGCCTGTCCTTAAAGCACAGCTTCCTGCCTTGCTCTTTGCAATTGCTTTGACCTGTCCTACCTAGACTGTGACTTACTGGGGAGAAAATAAACTGGGCCCATGGAGGGCTTAGGGCTGACTGCTAAGAGAAAGAAGTTGTATCAAATTCACACTTAAAAGAAAACTGGCCTGAGACAGAGGATGAAATCTTAGGAAAAGAAGGAAGCCATGTAGGCACTGCTGCAGCCTACCAAAAACTGATCCCCCTTTGTCTCCTGATTTTATTTAGATAGAAAAGTAATCTAAATCAATCATGGTAAACCTATTTCTTTTTTAGGGTAGGCATATGATACAATTCTGAGGGAGTCTACAGAGAACTTCTGGGAAACATTTTCTACCCTTGCCACTCTGACTTGCTGCTTGGAGTTGTGGAGAGGCAGTGTACAGAGCCGCAGCAGCCTTCTTG